AAATGGTCAATTACTACAAAATATTCAGGATCATAGGGTTAAAAAGCTAAAAGGGAAAAGTCAGGATCGATGCTTGAGTTTAATTTTGTTGCGAAAGAACCTTGATCTAGTTGATAGTGCCATTGGTTTTCGACTTCATATTAAGGTTCTTAAGCCGTAGTTAACATTAAATAAAAAAGGGGCTTCTTAACATCTCTTTGCCAAATTTACCAAAATATAGTGGTCCTCCATTTAAATCTTGATTCTTTGAAAAAGACTTCATTTAAGGAAAATTTTGAAACATGTGATTTTCATAAGGAAAATTTTATATAGAGTTGAGGCTCTAAACAATCAAATTAGAGCCCACCTCAAAAATTTCACTAGAAGAGATTGTTTCGATGCCTAAATATCCTCAAATTGATCATCTCGACATCAAGATGGTGGACATGATAAAAAAATGAATTTCAAGTTTTGGTAAGAGTGCCCTTGTAACGCATTTTTTGACTGTCAATTTTCAAGATTTTAAAGTTTTCATAGATCTACTTGAACTACACTATTTTTTAAGCTTTAAATTTTATAATTAAAAATAAAATATATTTTAAGGCTGTCACAAAGATTTCCAGTATTGAAACTACATTTCTCGACACTATTTGAAGGTGCTCTTTACTTTGATTGTTTAGAGCCTTAGCTCTATACAAACTGCATCTTTTTCATAATAACTTAAGAGAAAAATATATTTTTTAGTCTTAAAATAATGCTAAGACAACTCTTTTTCCGAAGAAAGAGAAATATATCCATGTTATATTTTGGAAAAAATATATATATAAAAAGTCATTTACATTTAGTACAAAAAAAATTACAATTACTCATCTTTAGTCCTAATTAACAATTGGCCACTTGAAATAATTATAATCTCCTTGTACCAAAATTAAATAAAACGGCATTAAATACCTTTACTGTAAACAAAACTCACGAGAAAACTTCTTAAAGCTTGTATCTCTCTATCAAGCCAAACTCCATGGAACTCTTTTCCCCTCCCTCTCTTCTCTCTCTCAAATTTTTTCTTATAAAATTTAGTATATGTACTTTTTTTTTTTTAATTGTTTGGTATACGTATTTTACTGTTGTAACCTAGTAGATGGAGAGATTCTGACTTTTCTAGCATGGCCCGGCATTATCTAATAGAAATACAGGGTTGGCAATAAATATATTTTTTTAAAATAGTTTGGTCCTAATTTTTAGAGAATATATAATCTCTAACATAGAGATCATGAATATAAAAAAAAAACTTAGAGGTCAAAAATAATAATTATATTAAAAAAATATTTGGACTGTTAATGACAATTATTTTTAGATGGACCACCTATTTGCACTACCTCTGGACCGCATATTGTAGAAATGCTGCTGTCGTTGAAATAAGTTTCCTTATCTAAACATCTTTTTTCATCTCTCTCTTCTGAGTCATACAGACAATATTTGTCCTTTTACACATTTCTAGTGTTTTGATAATCATATATTTGCTCAAAAACATACACTACTTTTTTAAGTCCAGTTTTCAATTCAAACCCAAAATATTTGTCATTTTCACTCCATTTTGTGTCTGTAAATTGTAACTTTTGGAGTAAATGGAATCCATTCCAATTTTGTTGGCCATGAATACTCTGATCTTCACGCTTCATATGTGTTGACTATGTTCCATTAAAATCTCTACCTAGAGAGAGAGATGATGATGTATATTTATGGAGGATATCACAGCTTTGCAATAAGGGACCGTCACTTGGTGTGATGGAAAAAAACTCAGGCAGGCAGCGTAAGGGTGCGGATTTGAGTCTTGAGAGCGGTCATTTTATGCATAAGTCAAAAGTTAAGACCGTTTCCAACCAACCTTTCACAAGACCCTACTTATATAGGACCAACACCGGTTACGGCCCTTCTATCTCAGCTGCAATAGGGCTACTGATATTGAATCTTCCGATCAACCCCAAGAAAGAGTGTGTGAGAGAGAGAAAGAGAGTGTGTGTGCTATAATGTTTTTGGTGAATATGATTTAAGGTTCTTAATGGGTTGCTTTACTGAATCTTAGGTTCTTAACAACCAGACCGAGGTAGAGATAGAGAGAGAGTGTGGCTATCCGCTTAACGTCGTCAATGTCATGCAAATCGCATGTGGGAATTTTATTGTAATTTATTTTTATAGGGGGTGTGAGTGTAATTTTTTAATTTCTTTGGTTAATATTTATGGCTAAAGCATAGGGATAGAAAAGATATTTAGTTATAATTCTGTTAGTTATTATTTTTATGGGGTGAGAACGTGTGGGTATGGAATGGTAGATAAGGATGGGGAGCAATGCTTATAAATCGACTGATTCAACCGTTCTAATTAAGCAAATTTCGGGTGGTCAAAAAAATGTGAAAAAATAAAAAAAATACAAAAAAAAGTTTACTAAAATATGAAACACCTATAAACAATGATTAAAACAAAACACATTCAAATGAAGTTGAAAATTAATGAAAAAAATGGATTTTAGAGAATCGATTTGTGCCTAAGGGTATTTTTAATTTTTTTTGAAAGAGATGGAAAAATCTAAAAGTGAGTATTAATAATCAAAACAATTTTTAATATTTATCATAATGTAAATAATATTAAAAAATCTATTCCAAATTATATTTTTTATTTTTGGGATTTTATATATACTTTTTTATATAAAAAAATTAAATACCGGCCGATCACCAAAACTGCCGGAAACCGAAACCGTCAAGGGGCCGGTTCCAATCTAACCAGACGGTTACCAATTGGATCGCCTAGTTTTTCTAATATTGATGGGGGAGTTAAAGATTTAGAAGAGAGATTTTTATTGAAGATTTTCAAAAGATTTTTATGGAAAATTTTAAAGAAAGATTTTATAAGGGGGGAGAGGAGATTCTAATGAGAAAGTGATGGGTTAGAGAAAGAAAATCGCGAGACAGAGAGAGAGATTGACGTGGAGGAGAGAGTAAGAGATGATTTTTTAGTTTTTTTATTATTTTTTTTAATTAGATTGTATTATTATTATTTTAAGTAATTGACTTGTATTTAAGGTGGAATTTTTCTTTAAAAGAGAGATTTGGTTTTTGTTTTGTAGAGACAATTTTATTCAAAGAAAAAAAGGTTTATTTTCCCTTTGGGTTGCATTTACAGCCACTTTAAGTTATCCATTGATGTTGATTGTGTTGGTGTTTCAAGATCAAAAGAAAGCCAGATTTAATTTTTGAGCTCTTTTTGTAAAGTGGTATCTTAGCAACAGTTGGCGACTACGATGGCTGGTCGTGCTGATTGTGGTGACCGTAGGTATACCGCCTTATACCGAAGGATAAACAATTTGGTGGAGATGGTTGTACGGTTGTTGCATAAGAGATCGGCAACAATATGTCCCAAATAAAGAGGTTCCCATGTTATGGATCCAAATCGTGTGGGTCTTGTTGGAGATGGGCACGGGATTGAATATGTATTTAAGGTAAAACTTTCCCTTAGAAAAGAGATTTGGGTATTTTGTTTGTAGAGACAATTATATTCAAAAAAGAAGGGTTTCTTCTCCCTTTGAGATTCAGTATTTTAATGGACTTTGTATTTAAGGTCGCACATTCTCTTAGAAGAGAGATTTGGTTATTTTATTTACAGAGAATTTTATTCAAAGAATAAGGGTTTCTTCTCCCTTTGGACTGAATTTAAAACGACTTTAAATTCTCCATTATTGCTGATTGTGTTGGTGTTTCAAGAAAGAATGACAGATTTAATTTCTAAAGATCCTTTTGCATCACAATGTCACATAGCTTGATTGCTTCAAAGCTGAACCCCCAAGAGAGAGAGATGGAGGGAGAGATATGCTTGATGACTGAACAAACATTCGAAAGGTTGAATTAGGTATCAGAGTTCCCTGAATGACTGCAAGAATAGCTTCACTTTTTGACTGTTAAGGCATAGGCAACATGCATAAGAAGGGACAGTGAAGTCAAAATCCACAAGGGTGGGAAGAACCAGATGCCCACTCTAAAAGGGCCAATCTGAGGAGTGTCCTTCACACTTAAAGCCAGGCCAAATTGCAAATGATCTAAATCAATAAGAAAAAAGAATACGACATGTTGAGGTGTGCGGCCAAATTGCAAATGATCTAAATCAACAAGAAAAAAGAATACGACATGTTGAGGTGTATGGTAATTTTAAACCGTCCATTCTGCTCAATGATAAAGATATGTAAGCCTCTTCTGCTAAATAATAAAGATATGTGAGCCTATTAAGTTGGGAGCCAATCTTAGGTTTTTAGGGAAACCATTTTTACTGTTTCTAGCAAGATGTCTCTTCGCCCTTTCTAACAAGAAAGAGCATATAAACGAGCAATAAAAAAACCCACAAAGAAATGAAAAAAACCAGCAAAATCCTGGTTTCAACTCATTTGGGAGAGAGAAGGTGAATAATGGGAAAATATGTGGTTCTATTTTGTGGAGGAAGGTGAGAAAAAAAAGAGCTCCGAGCATGAGGGCCGGGCATATCTTTCAGATCAACCCACCATATCAGATGGATCAAGAGATGGCCATTGACGAAGCATTGAACCCATTATCAAGATTTTCTGATGACCATATTCCAACCACTAATTCAAGCACAAGCAGAGATTTTCAGGTGTCCATATTCCAACCACTAATTCAAGCACAAGCAAAAATCCCTACTGTTATCTCATCTGACAATAGAAAGGCCTTCAAGTTTCTTGGACGAAGGCCAAATACTTGTTTTCCCTCCCCTGATTCTTTTAATGAAGACACCGTGATTCTCCTTATTCTTTTAATGGCGATGCCATGATTTTGAGGTTAAAGGTGCAGATTGAGAGAATAGGAAAGGAGAGAGAAAATAGGAAGGGTGGAGAGAGAGAGAAGAGGCGCAGGGTAGAAAGAGTGTAAAAAGATACAAAAGTATTTTTCTTAAAGAAAGGGTAAGAAAACTGCAATATACTGTTATTATGTATTTTAAAATACATAGGATCATTCCCCTAATTTAATTATTGAAAAGAAAAGAAACCTGAATGTTGAGGTTTCCATTGCTGTAGCCTGTTTTGCACTATATATTCAATCATCAATGGAAGAACATTTACACCACTCACTGGCCTGAGTTTAAAAACTTCTCTTATTATGGTCATTAGTCTCTTCAATTTCTCAGGCTACATGTCCCCCTTTTCCCCCATGTGTGGGATGGAGTCACTGGACAACAACTTTATTTATCAGAGAGAGAAGTTAAATACTCTGGTTTGAACTATAAACCTCAGGAAAGGGGCTGAGTCACGGTCGTAGCATCCCTACACCTAACTACCACATCGTGGTATCCATTACTGCTAACACCTTCAACACGTTTAAAATGTAACTTCTTAATCTATTGAAAAAAATGGGTAGGGGCCTGTCTTCCCCACTGAATTACCCAAAAAATAAAAAAACTCTAGACCTCTACTCTCTCTCTCTCTCTCCAATGCCCTAAAGCCAGACTAGCTTAATTATTCCTTCCTTACATAAGAGAACATTCACATTTTCGAAGCAGGCTTTGACCTTCGATCTGAGATGAATTTCTGCATCTTTTGGAACTGCTCTTTGCTCATTCCTTCATAATATTTGTAAGCCCTCTCCTGAGAAAAAGAAAAACTCCAAACATCAATTCATACAAATTCACCACAAATTACTTATTCCAATGGATCCCAGGTTTCAACTAGATTCCTGATAGAACCAAAGAGACTCCTAAAATTTTCAAAGCAAAGTCGTCCCTGTTCACATGATTCCCAACATGCCAAATAATACAAAAATGGATGCACCATACAAAATTGAGAGAGAGAGAGAGAGAGAGAGAGAGAGAGAGAGAGAGAGAGAGACATATGCGACTAAGTTTT